AGGCTATTTGATATATTCGTGAGGATTATTTGACTGATTAATGGAGGAATTATTTGGTTTAAATTGGAAAATTTGACATGTTCGAGATGTAATTCCGTTTGTTCGAGGAGATGTTATGTGATTTATTCGTGGAGAATACATGATACATTCATGGAGCTCATTGGATTATTTGTGGAACATTATTTGACTTATACGTGAAGCTTATGTGATTTATTCAAGGAGATATTATTGGATTTATCAGAGGAGAATTATTTGATTTGCTCGAGATAACACTTGATTTATTCGTGGAGTGTGATATATTCATGTATATACGTGATTTATTCGTGGACATTATTTGATTTTGTCGAGGAGACACCATTTGGTTTATTAGTTGAGGATTATCTGATTTATTGGAGGATATATTTATTTTGCTCGAGGAAATATTACTTGATTGATTTGTGGAGATATTATGTGATCTATGCGTGGATGTTATCTGATTTGGTCGAAGAGATGTTATGCGATTTACGTGTGAAAATATTTGATTCATTCGCGGAAATATATGATTTGCTTGAGAAGATATTGTTTTGCTCGAGGTTACATTATTTGGATTATTCGAGGAGATATTCTTTGAACCGAGGAGGTGCAATTTTATTTATTTGTGGATGATTATTTGACTTATTTGAGGAGAATATTTGATTTATGCATGGAGGATTATTTGATCTGCTCAAGCGATTATTGGATTTATTTGTGGATGCATTTGATTTATTCGAGGAAGCGATTATTGGATTTATTTATGGATGATTGCTTGACTTAATTGAGGTGATTACTTGACTAGTTCGAGGAGATATTATATATTTTGCTCGAGGGATTCTTTGATTTGTTCGTGGATATACTTGATTTGATCGAGGAATTATTCGATTCGATTGTGGATATATTCAATTTGATCGTGGATACATTTGATTTGTGCGTTGATATATTTGTTCACAAATAATGCGAGTCGTGGTTTCAAATGGAGGATATTTTAGGAGAGTGTTTATCGTATTTTTTGGTGCACTTATCGATAGACTCGAGGAGGCCGATTAAAATTATGCGATTCGATTTCTTGATATATCCGGAGCCTCTTATTTGAATTTTCATGTGAAAATGTGGATTTTGTTGAAATGGATTATTCGTAATTTTTAAGCATGTCATTGCTCGAGCATGTTTTAAATCGAGGAGATGGTGATTTTTGTATTTGGTCTTTTGTTTTTATTGCGTGGAGCATTGCAAAATGGATAACTTGAATATAATGTGGATAATGATATATCTCTGAATTCTTGTCGAGAAAACATCGAAATAACCCGAGTCTTGACGAGCCATGTCGGACGAGCTGTTGAGTGTCAAGGACAAGATGAGCGAACGTGGATCCATAAAAGGTGGGTGATAAGGAAGGAAGAGCCTGGATGATGTCGATCACCGGGGGCGATTTCAAAGGCAGAAATCATTCTCTTTAGGAGAGGTAGGATAATGGGAAGTGATATTCAAGATCTTCAGGTATGAAATTAATCT